AAGCTATCCTCCCCTCTGTTTTTATCAAGATGTATGCTATCGTATGGATACCTGGGTGAGAAATGATATATTTATATATCGTAAAGATCCCCGATAAGAAAGGTTTACAGATTTATTAATGTACAAATGAAACCATTTCCCTTGCCTCTTTCTTTTCCTATGAATAAAACAAGACACAATAACCTGGTGGATAAAAGTTACAGGCCAATTTATTATAGGAACAATCCTGGAATTGTTAACACTCGTGGAACAAAAGAATTTTTTTACCTATAAGATTCACAAAATTAAACTCGTATATCTGGTGGAGAATAAGGAGCGTACATTATTGTTAATGCCGCTGGCGAGGTCCTTTATGACCTTTCCTCCTTTTCGTAGTACATCCTCGGGTGTTAATTTAAGAAAAGGAGCCCGTTGCCCGTGCGTATCCATAAATTCCGACCAACTTACGATTAGGAGAAAGGTCCTCGTAAAAGGCTTTGGGTAAATTGCTTGATGAGAATCACCGCCCGAGACGCAATTCTTTGAAGAACTATAATTGCCGAATTATAAAAGATGATGTATCAGTACAACACTGAGCATTATTAGGCCACATGGTTAATTTGTTGCCTTATCAGCTTTTATTTCAGAATAGAATCACTGACTTTATCAATTGACCGACTATAAAATCCAAACCTTAAATCTTCTGAGTAATATGGCATTCTTTTTACATCTTGCTATTGTATAAATAATTAGCAATAAATTACCTCGGTAAATTATTATATCGTTGTTTCATATTTCTCTTTTACTCACATATGTGGCCAATAATTGAATTTGTCACATGAATCATCTAAGTTATAGACGTAACTTTATAACGTCACCGATATTAGTATGGCGTTGCAAATTGTTGACAGTCAGCTTGTTGTGCAGTCTTGAAAATAAACGAATATCACAAACCGAGATTCTACAGTTATCGTAAATTTCCATATGATGGCTGCCTAGTAAAATCATTTTAATGTTACTGGGTGGCACAGTGAAATCGAATATTTGATTATAATAACCGTAAATAAAATTACTTTATTATAATATGAACATGCCTATGGAATGAGCCGGGTAACGGCTAACGGTTACATTTTGGTCAAAATACAAGGTGCATCAACTTCTATATTCCACCCATTAATTCGTAAACGATTGACTTTAGCAAAAAAAATAGTCTTATACGAACCCCAAGTTAATTTTGGCTAGGAATGGCATGGTGGTAACATATTTAACATAACTTTCCCATCTAGCTGGGAAATAACATTAACTTGTTATTTTAAATAATAATTTCATATTTTTATTGTACAATTCGATTCTAGAACTTATTTTATGCCGCTTTTACTGAAAGGAAAAATTTTGATCAACCATTTGTGAGTTATACCCGACGGAAAACGCGTGAGGTATGCTTTTTGTAACAAGAGGCCCTCCCTGTTTATTTCGAAAACGATTAACTTGAGCAAAAGATGGTCTTATACAAACCTCATGTTAATTTTGGCTAGGAATCGCGTGGTGGTTGCAAATTTAACATAACCTTCTCATTCATCTAGCTGACATCCGTAAGGCATAACTCTGAAATGGTCGATCCTATCAAGAATGAATTGTGTGAGCGTAAATGAGTGATATATGTATAATTTGAGTTTGGGAGTTGACGTGGGATCACCGTTTGAATGAAATTTTTATGAGTGATACTAGCTCAAATATAGTAGACAAGTATCCGTCTATTCATGCCAAAGGGCCATAGAGGCCGACATTTTTTTTAAAGGAAATTTACACATGTTTTTCTGCTTTTGATGTACATTTATTTGAAGGTTTTTATAGTGGATTTGGCTTTCTATGTAGGATAAGAAAATATTACGCAGGATTGTATTAAATGAGATTAGATGTACACTCAAAGGCAAAAAACCTGATTCTCGTATTTTATTGTTTATTATGTGTGTATTTTTTATCGTTATATTAATTACAATGTAGTTATTTTAATGTAAACTACAATAAACGTGATCAGAAATTCATCAGTTTTAAATATGAATAAATAATAATAAATTCAAATATGATTAAATACAAATACATTCACTGATTTTTGCTGTAGGATTTAACATTTCATAACTTATGGATTATATCCAATTTCCACTGTACTAAAACCGGTTTTATATCATTATAAGAGAAAAAATAAGAATTAGATGAACAAAACTTCTCAAACTTTTGATATTATATCTTCAATTCTGGTACTACGATGATCGATGGTCCTCTTTAAAGTTCATAACTCCACTGGATTGTGTCTAAGGTCCACAGCATTTCACCCGATTATGTCATTATAAGTTAAATAAATAAACTTTTTAAATCACATCTTTTGTTTTTATTTGTTTACCAAAACAAAATTTAACTATTATATGAGGTTTATATATGTTGGGATTCGCTTTAAGACCCCTGTAGCGTTTACATAGGTAAATTTCAACAGCAAGAAAAAATTGATATTTTTTTGACTAGATTTTTTATCTTCCATTTAAAATTTAACTCGTCTAAATTTTATCCAAATTCAACTTCATTAAAATTGTTGGAAATGGTTTTTCTTCTTTCAACCTATCCCAACAAAGTTTAGATTTNCGGATTGAATTCTCGACGACAAAATTAGTACCACGAATTTAGTGAATTTAATGATTGAAAATGAAGTATACTTCACTAAAGCTCTCCGTAGCCATTTCATTTGTCGTGTGTATTAGTGAAAAATGTAAAATAAATATAATATAAAATAAATTGAATTTATTTTATCTATCATAAGTAATTTTACTGAAGTAAAATTTATCCACCATGTAGTTAGTTTCTAAATCCAAATTTGAAAAACAAAAATACACTGCCAGTAAAATAGGTCAAAAATCTGTTTAAATAGTTCAAATTCGTTTTAAGGCCACTTTAAAGCGTTTACACAAGCAAATTTCTACAGCAATAAATGGCAACCTATGGCAATAACGTTTAGATTTTCTGCCATTATATGTAAGAAAAATAAGAATGAAATCCACAAAACCTCCTCAAACCTTTTATTTTATATCTCAGGTCCTAATTTATTTGCAGCGACTAAGATTAAGGCGTTTGATGTAGTTGTTAAAGTAATAAGTATAAATTCCTATAATGCTAAACCAAGGTTTGTAGGCACTGGAAGGCGAAACATACGAAAATATAAGATTTTATTTTCACAAAAATTTGTATCTAGGGGTTTTTGGGGTACACAACTCGTGACATCCCTTGAGTTTGTACGTTTTAATTGGAAATATCAAGTGAATAGTACCAGAATATTTATGGGACGTTTAGTACTACTGTGAGAGTTTTAAGTTAACAATATTCGTTTCCCATGTTAAATGTCTTAAATTTCTACGACTCTGAACAGAATAATACTAAAAATAATGGGAATATTTGAAGAGGGTGGTTTCGAAAATTGACTAACTTCTTAAATTAGACGATCTAGGGAGGAATTTACACAATGGAAGCGTCATTACACGGCTTTACAACAGTGGAAAAAAGTTGAGCCTTCTTTCTTCCCTAATTGCTATTTCTTCCAAGTTCCCCTCCGCCTGACTCTTCCCACTTTTGTCCATCCTCAATAATCAGTAATTTTTCCCTTTTTAGCTCCGGGCCGCTTTTCAAACACTCCTCATTTGGTTTCGTTTTTTGATCTTCATTTATAAAGCAGATTCATTACATAAAAAATGAAGTGTCGCGGTGGAATCGGAACCACTTTCTTTTATGAGTAAACACCCTGCTATACATTATGATTAGGATAATACTTTCTTTAAACGAAAAAAAGACACCAGAGAAGGTGAATTAAATCGCTAAGTTTAGAAGACGTCGGTAAAACTTTATTGTACAAAATTAATTAATTGTAGAAAAAGTGGTGTTTAATCAATTATTACATTTACAATTCAGGTTTAGCAAATAAGTCGTATCTTGATAAAGATAAACATTGTCTTGGTTTTGTTTGGCGTATCAAACCTACTTAAACGTTTTATTTAATATCTCAAATTCAAATTTATTTACGGAATTACGTTTAATTTATAAGGTTATAAAAATTAGAATGTTAACAATTAATTATCCACTGTCATTTCGTATGACCGTAACGGATCAGTCACTGGTATAATTATTCCGTTTTTTAAAAATTGCTAGTAAAAAATTCTTAACAAACTACTTAACATACAACAATGAAGTGACAAATGAAGAACGCTTTCTTTGAACAAATGGGTGTAATAGACCAAATAGATTTTGAGAAAATAGTACTGGATATGTCAACTTTTTGGGTTCTCTTTGAACGATTACAAAAACACGACAATGAAAAATACCCAAAATATGGTAAACGTTTAAGTTTGATAATTAAGCCGAAAGTACGACTCTATTAAAAAAAATTCAATGAAAGATATTGTACTTAGTACTACAAGATGTGTTGTTGTACAAAAATAGTAGCATCATTCAAGTATCTAATTAACTATTCAGAAATCGTGAGATGCTGTCTGGTGTGATATAGGTTTCAGAAAAACATTTTCTTTATCGTGCCAACGTTTCGATCTTTATTGAGATCATCTTCAGGGCCTAGGATTTACAAACATCGTTTACATTTAACAAATACATGTAGGATGTGGAAAAAAGTAAATTTATACAATGCAAAATATATTTTTTATAATTATTCAGAAATCGTGAGATGCGGTCTGGTATGATGTAGGTTTCAGAAAAACATTTTTTTATCGTGCCAACGTTTCGATATTTATTGAGATCATCTTCAGGGCTCAAAGTGTTTGTCTTCTGTGTAATTGTGCCATTCTTGCGTGTCGTGTTGGGAGTGCCAGTGAGATATTGCTGTTTTATTTTTTTATCCAATTAACTTATAGCTGTATTGGGATATCTGCCTAATGGGAATTCCTAGAGGAATAATTAATAAAGCCACCAATAATAAATTAAATAACAATCAAATGAATTAGATTTTAAAAAAGATAATTTAACTGAGTTAACATATAGTATCTTATATAACAGTAGGGGCGTTGGTGGCCGCATTAGTTTAGGCGTTGTCACGGTGCTCATCACTGTAAGTAAAGGTCCCTGGTTCGAGTGCACTGCCGCAGGAATCGCATCCGACATACTTAAAAATGGGTTTTTTCGAAAACATCGGCACCCCGAGGGTTAATGACATCAGCTGTTGCGAAAACAAAAGAAAAATAAACTTAATACCAATAATAATCACTCATAACAAAAGCATAACACACTTATTTCACGTGACAATAGATTGGAAGTTGTAGCTGTATTAGCGGATTTTCGTTGGAAAGAAGTGTCTGGTGGTCCATAATTCTGCAGCAATATATCCGTGGCATCAGTAAGATTCAGAACCTAGAGGAGTGTTTTATTTCTAACATACCAGGGCGCTGCACTCCATTGCCTTAGTATTCGATTTTGAACCTTCTTTATTGGGGAATCGGGAGTCGAAGACCACACTGTGCAACCTTACTGCTATATCTGGGGAGTGAGCATTATATATATTAGTCGCTTATTATGTAGCGGAATGGCATGCCTTGTTAAAAGATGTTCCAAAGCATACAAACCTACTCTTCTTTAGTTCTATATATGTTCATTCCCCGTCAGTTTCTGAAGAAGAAGAGAAAATGAAATGCGTATCAAACATAAACTCCATTGTGCAGAGGTGGATTTAACACGAAAACAAAGGAAGAAACCAGTTGTTCGTCTGAAAAACTCAAATTAATTATGTAAAATTGAATTATTTCGATAAATCCTGGAATGGTTAATTTAACTCGAACTTTTTGTCATTTTTTACATTCATTATTTATTTTTCAGGCCTGAATTCAAACAGAAGACTTTTACCTTTAGGAGAAAGTACAAAAGAGGCAGTAGGCCAGATTTTCAATGTGGAGGAGAATCTCGTCCATTATCAATCTTCCAAATGAATCTCTTTTCTTTACCCTACCGATGAACCTGAAACGGCTTTTTCCGCTGTTCACAAACATCTGCCCTACTACGTTTCTGCTACTAATCTTGGTTACTTTTATATTAGACCCTGAGCCCCTTGTCCAGCGGCTCTTCAAACGACGACGTTAGTTCCTTCCACTCGATGTAATCATATTGTGGTCCGTAACTTCCGAAGTCATGGTTCTTACGGCCCATTTCCCTCATGATCGATCTACACATATTGCTGACTCGCAATCGCCCTGTGTGTGCTGTACACTTCAGATACTGCTTTTCTCCCCTGTCTCATTATTCCGGTGAATGGGAATCGGCCCGATAACTCGACTAAGAAGGCACAATCGGCAGTTAACAAACACGGATTAAGCTGGAAGAAGGGAAATCAGATGTTGCCGATATAAGTTCAATGAGAATAATAATTAAACTTTAAAAAATTTAATAATAATTAAACACACGCACTGTTCAATTAATTTGAGTTGAAAACTTAGAAAAATTGCCAAAATTGAAAAAGAAAAGTGAAATGACTGTATAAAAATTAAACAGCTCATGCTCGCACAAAGAAAGTGTCAATATGAACTATAATTCATTTAAATAGATACTGTTCACAATAGCATACGAATTTCACCCAAAAGATATATGTTGTCTGAAATAAATTTATTATTTTTATACAAAGTATGGTTGAGTTGAAAAATAATAAATCAATTAAAGTAAATACTTTGATCAATAGGACCAATTAAAATACATACATACATTTGTTGTCTAAAAGGTGAGGTTATTCGATTCCTTATAATAATTAGATTAACGAAACACTGGTCGATAAATTGGAAGTTAATTTCTAGAAAATTGACAGAGGACTATGTACGGATGTGTAATTTATCAAATTCAAGCCGAATGACAGTTGTTAGTGTAACATAATACCAAAATGCTTCAACTATAAATCAATGAAATTAATAGTATCCACTATAATATACAAATTTCACCCAAAATACTGCCCACAACAACAAAAGTGCTAACTTTGAAATTTTCATATTTTTTATGTACGTGCTTTTTCAGTAATATTAACTTCACTAATTTCGTGGTCCGCTTGACCAATTAATATATTACAATTAATTAAGGTTTTTAGTTGAAATAAAAAAGTCAATGGCACGAGCGGGATTCGAACCCACGATCTTCGGCTAGATACGCCGCTGCTCTACCACTTCCTATCTCAACTTAATTGAGATTTAAAAAAATGGCAAAAAGGAGGGAAAATTCAAAAGGTGGGGTTGAGATGGGAAGTTAGTGTCCGAGTGGATCGAGGTCACGATAGCTCAAGTGGTAGAGCAGCGGCGTTTCTAGCCGAAGATCGTGGGTTCGAATCCCGCTGGTGCCATTGATTTTTTTATCTCAACTAAAAACCTTAATTAATAGTAATATTAACAGCGATATCTTTTCTAATTCAGGTATTTGTTAAAAAAGTGGTTTATTGTGAAAATAAAAATATACCTCAAAAACAAAAAAAATCACTTTTCTTGTGAATACAGTGTATTACCTCCTCTTGCTCTTATTGCACACTCTAATTTCTCAGCAAGTTCAGAAATAAACCTTTAACCACTTCTGGTGGAATTTCATCCCACATCTGAACTGACGTAACTTTCAGCTCAACTAAGGTTGTAGGAGGGTTATTTCTTCGTTTTAGCCAACGTCCCAGCTCGTCCCAAAAGTACTCAATGGGGTTCAAACCAGCGATATAGGCTGGCCTTCTAAAAGTGTAAACATTGACATCTCGAAGGTGTTGCATAACACTGGTGGCGACAGTTGGTCTTCCGTTATCTTGCATAAACAAAAATTGCACGCCGATAACAGGAACAAATGGGACCACACATTCCTCAAGAATTTCTGTCACATTGATTTCTGCATTAAGTGACGGTCTATTAAAAAAGTGTCCATGTGAATCTCCTCCGAATGACCCTCTTCTTTGTCCCGGCATTGTTGTATTGGCTGTAGAGCTGAAGTGCTGCTCGATCGAAGGAGTCTGTCTGGTGAATAGAGCGAAAACTGGGAAACTGGGACTGTCTGCTCTGAAAACATAACAATCCTTCTTTACAGTTGCTGTCCAACTTCGGTGTCCCTTGTAAACTCTAAGCGGTCCCGACGATGGTATCTTGTAACCGCTGGATCCGTTGCTGAGCTTCTGAGGTATAGACTCATTTCTGAAGTATCATTCTTACTGTTTCCGCGTTAACGGTTACATCCTGCACAGTTCCAAGTTTTTGAGACGTTTCAGAAGCAGTGGAAAAATGCAATGTCTCAGAGTGACATCTGATAAATCGGTCTTCAGCTGATTCTTGGGTGCCCGATCCGAGTACACCTTGCAATCTCCTGGTTCCACTGAATTCCCGACAACCGTCGTTTTAGGCAAACTACAACTTCAGCGCTGATTTCCTCCATTCTCAATGAGTGCAATGGCACGGGCTAATTGCTCGCTGATTATGAACATTTTCGTAATCGTTTTGTTTTGTGCCACCGGCTCACTAGTGAATAAAGGTATTTTTAAAGGATTATATGCTCTTGTAGATGATTTACATATTAAAGATTTTAAACGATGTTTTCTTATATTTCGACCTCAACAGTTTAACTTATGATTTTTCCTACTTGAAGGTGGGATAATAGGTCATCTCAAAAAAACCACAACCAGTTTTTATCCACAAAGTTTCGGATTTATTTTAATCCTTCCTCCGGTGAGTTAACGCCTATACACAGAACAAATATTTCTTACATTTTTAGATCAACATGGTTATCATTGTTTTAACCATTGTAAGTAGTGAATAAACAATGGTTGTGGTTTTTTTGAGATGACCTATTATCCCACCTTCAAGAAGGAAAAATCAAAGGATTTTAAATCAAATTAAGAATTAAGCGGTTTTTCTTCACAATCGGCGCCAAAACCAATACTTTCAGTCTAATTATAGTTATTCAATTATTATTAAAAGAGTAAAGCAAAAAATGTATCTAAAACATTGTTAAATTTTTAAAAAATCCTCATTTCAATATGCGCCAATTTTTTGTCGAGCAGTGTATAACAGTCCTTCGAATCGACATTGCGGAAAGTTCATCAACAGTTGTTGGTTTGTCTGAAAATTGGAGGTAAACCAGACTACTAGCTGATACAATTGTATCGTACCAATTTGCATATTAATTGGTTTTGTAATGGATGACCTTAAGGAAGGCCCAAGGGATATTTTGGCAAAGGCTTAAATTGCACGTCCTACCAGGCACTCAACGCAATTGAAATTATTGATTGAATCAATGACCGGACTACTACGAGCTAATTGAAGGCGGTCAATAATTTTTAACCGTCAAACACGTCTCTTGAAAGTCAGCGTAGTCATCTGCAATAATCTATTGCCTCAAAATTCTTTCGAACAAATTATTCCATTGCTAATCTTGTAGTAGTGGTGAAACATTTTTAATTGTTTCTCCCAACTTTTCTTCATTTGGTCGGATTCGGTTTAATTCTCCAGCAAAATTTTTGAACATGATTGACTCCTGCAATACCCCACAAGCAGTCCTTAATAATTTTCAAGTCGTAATCTAACAAGTGGAGGCTATGGAAATGGGATCACCAATGAAACTGTTTTTATTGATTCTATGACGAAAAATATTATGTCTCCTATTTCCATTCAAACTTCCACTACATTAAGTTTTTTATTATTAATAATATTCACACCTTTAGTTACAATAAGTAGGGAAATTTGGTCATTCACAGAGCATAACATCATAAAATTATAAACTGTTCAAAAACGAATAGGGATATTGCCAATTTTGTCGTATTTACTTTCCTGGCATTTTTATTTTATTTTTATTATAAATTGCATTAAAATTTATTAGAAATTATGATTATTTTGAGATCGTGAGATGCGGCCTGGGGTGACCTACATTGATAAAAACATTTTCTTTATCGTTCCAACATTTCTGTTTTTATTGTGTTAATCTTCAGGGTTCCATAAAGATCGAAACGTCAGTACGATAAAGAAAATATTTTTCTAAACCTACGTCACACCAGACCGCATCTCACGATCTCCAAGTAATCATTAATTAACGATCGCTAAATACCACACATTTATTCACAATGTAAACCTTTTCATTTATTTGTATTTTATGTAAGGAGAAAAATGCTGATCGTTCATCGTTCATCGTTCATCGTTCAGCAGGGCTCAGTCGAGATAGCCAGCCAAGAGGTAAAAGTACACCAAAGGTTAGGACATGTCGCAAAAAAATTATTTAATAAAATTTTCATTATTAACCATACTGCCTAACATTTTAGGAACGTTCTACGGACAGAGAAGAGATTAGAAAACATGGAAAGACTAATCCTAAAAAGAAGGGATTTTAGTCTATTTTAATGCCACTTCTTTTGCCTAAGTAATTATTTTGTTTCTGACTGAGAACAAACTGACAGATTTTTTTCCAGATAAAAGACAAATTGGAAGCTGATGGCTTATACATTCCCAACTCCAAACACCTATTAAACAAACAAGAAATTCGAGAGAATGTCCAGATTGTTAATACGATTTTTGAATACAAAAAAGATTATTTATTATTCTGTTATACATTGGTTCTAAAAGCAGATATAACCACACGAATTCAACAGATTCAAAAATACACCAATACACTTTTAATATGAATAAGCGTTAAATTTGTAAATTTGGATGTTATAATTTTACTAGACTTCTCGTACACTCTGGGGTTGTTGACAAGCTAGTGTTAAGACTATGCTTTTTTCATTTATTTGTTTAACACCTGTTTCGTTTTGTTTATCAAGTGAATATTTTTTGAGAGATTTCAAAGAACTGAACTTGACACCTCCATGGCATCAACCACCAGTGAAAAAACTCACTGTTGACTCTGTGGTATCATCGTAGTAAATGTGTTAAGAAAGAATGGAAAAATGAAAACAGTCTTTTACAAGTATCACATGAGAGAAGAAACTTTTTTATTATTATAATTTTTTTTTATTCACTATGCTATATACTTGCTTTAGGCTAAAAATGTCGCCTAACAAGTTCTTTCTGACAAAAATTTCCATCTTAATGTGCCATAAATAGACTACATTAATCATCACTTTTCTAAATTTTTCACTCACAAACAATATCAGTAGTTTTAATTTAAAAAATTTATTGAACCCGTAAGGAGCGGTCAACAATGAAATACACTGACAGGCAAAAAATTCCATCCAATTTTTTTCTCCATAAACAAAACTCTGCCCTTAATTTGCCTCATTGTTTTTATCAATAAATTTTTGTTATGCAATGTTTTAAATTGGGAATATCAATTAGAGGTGAACACCCTTAATCCAAAACAAGGTTAAAGGATTTTTTAATGTTTATTATTTACGGAATTTAAAATGTTTATTGAGTTTCATTTGAGTTCTGAAGCAATAAACTGTTTAATTGTCATCTTTGTTTCCTTAATTTCAATTTTTAAAATTAAAAATGCCACTTAGTGCTGAGGATGTTGCGCGTGGATGATGGACATTCCATCAGGTATGCGGGTGTTGCCATCGGAGCTCCCTACAAAAAAACACTGCGAGATGCCGTTAGACGTTTTCGAGAAACTGGGTCTTACCAAAGCGCCCTAGGGTAATAAAACCACAGGATGACCGTTTTTTGAATTTGAGAATTTTGCGAAACCGGCACCTTACCTAGGTGTCCAAATTTGGACGATTGGCCCGCTGTACTTTTTACAGATGAGTGTAGATTTGCTCTTTGTTCTCCAGATTGGCGTGAAAGAGAGTGGAGAAGGCGAAAAGAAAGGTACGAAGCCTGTAATTTTTCCGAGAGCCAACCATTTCAGCGTAGCTTAGTGATGGAGTGGGCGGGAATTTGAATGGAGAGTAGAACAGAGTTTTCGTGGAGGGTCTTTGACGGCTATGTCGATGAAATTTTGGAACATCATGCGTTGCCTACTTTCGATAAAATCAGCGACAATCCTATTCTAATGCTCGATAATGCCTTTCCATATGTCGCTCACACAATGCAAACATACCTTCAACAGCATAACATCAGGGTCTTTGTCTAGCCAGCCCGTTCTCCAGACTTGAATCCCATCGAAGATTTATGGAATAACCTCAAAAGACGAATAAGAGCAGGTCCATCACTTCCTGATACACTCCCCGGTCTTGAATGGACTCTTCGTGAAGAATGGGCTAACCTCCAGCAAAGAGACATTTCCAGACTGGTAGAAAGTATGCTGAGGCGTCTACGAGATGCAATTAAAGGAAAAGGAGGAAATACGCGATATTGCCATATCAATTAAAAATCTAAAACAATTAATTACATTTTTTTTACTTTGTTAGACAAAGACTCAATTATTATACGTTAAAAAACATGAAACTTTGATAAATATACAAATGAAATTATATTACAAGTGGGTGGAATGTTTTGCCTGTCAGTGTATATATTAGTAATATATAGTAATAAATATATATTAAAATATTTTTATTTTTTGTCTTTGTTGTGCATCTTTTCAAGGTTATTTATATATCGGTCTAATGATTTCTTTGACGAAAGATAAGAAAATAATATGGAGGATCGTCTTAAATGAGTACTAGGTCGTCCGCATGGAGCAAAATCTTTATTTTCGAACTAACTTTTTGTTAAGATTTTATGAAATTTTAAATAAATAGGGTGGTTTTTAAAAATCCAATAATCTTCATTTTTAATTTGACTCTTGGGTTTCCAAAAGCGCAAAGAGAGGGTAAATACCGGGACTCGAGGGTGTACCATAATGTTCTATAAAGGTCAGAAACCAGAAACCCGGCTGAAACTCAAGAAAGCACCGGCCTTTTTACATGTACGGCACTAAATTACTTTTTTCCTTCCACGAGACGAGGGTCTTGCTACGATATTTCACCTCGCCCACGCATTATTTCAGTTTAACACTTGTCTCAGCATGAACCCCCGGCCACCATTACATCCATTTAGTCGCATGACAAGGGGGGATAACTTCTTAGTTTGACTCTATAAACTCGTTTACCAGTTTTATTTAAGACTGTTTACTTGACAGCAAAGAGAGAAAAAATTAACTGAGACGTTTTCTTTGTAAAAGCCAACATTTAATGATATACTCCCACATATGAAAATATTTCAGCTTATTCCTATAGTTCCGGCGTCACGAAGTCATAACCTTTCGAGAGCCGGAATTTTTGTCTGGATACTCGTATGTTGTTTAAAAACTGTCTGTTCCCCTAAACGTTCTAAAATTCAAATAACAAACACTTTTACAAATAGGATCATAATTTCAAATACGATCTGACTCATGTTTTTTTAAAACGGCTGTTCAGCCCGAAAGTTATTTACCATAAAGTTTAATCAGTTATTGTAGTGTCTGCTCCTGGCAGCTCTTCGCCTATCACCCGAATTAATATGATACAATTAACATGGGAAATTTAATTCGCCCTTCCGTACCGTTTGTATTTGTATACGCGCTGTTACACACGTCAGGAAAATTACGGGAAAAGGAAGGACTTTAATTATCGATTCATAACTCTTGTTTTTGCAAAGTAATTACCATATATCGAATCCTGAAATCGGATTTACACTAATGAGGTAAAATAATTGTTCATTAATATAGGGAAAAACGTAAAGTTAAAATTTCAATTAGTTTATACGAGAAAATTGCACGATTGATAAAGTCATATAAAGTCCATTATCTAATTTTGGATTTATACCATTCGGATCGTATATCATGCAGGTTGGCAAATATATAATTACCGTTTGAGCGAAAATCATTTACGAAATTATTTTAAAACGTTGCATCATATTAATACATAATATGTATTAATACAAACTATTAAAAATCGAACTTACAAAGATACGTATAGGCCTGACTCTTCGGTGTCAAAGAGTTTGTTGTGTTTTGTTGTTAACTTAAACTTTAATTCCATGATATTTAATGGTCTGTTTGACCAAATTACTTCTTTCAATTAATTATACGTTTTATGTAAGGTCTTGGTTGAAATGAAAAAGTTAGTGTCACGAGGGGGATTCGAACCCACGACCTTCGGCTCAATATGCCGCTGCTCTAACCATTTGAGCTATCGTGATTTCGATCCTCTCGGACGCCAACTCCCCATCTCAACGTACACAATAGATTTAATCAGTAAACCGAAGTATAACTTCACTAACAGCTCCCCGTGGGCACTCCATTTGTCGCCGAAAATCAAATCCTGATTACACAACATTTGAAAAATGGCAAAAAGAAAGAAAAATTCGAAAGGTTGTAGATTGAAATGGGAGTTGGTGCCCGAGTGGATCGAAGTCACGATAGCTCAAGTGGTTCGAATAGCAGCGTATTGAGCCGAAGGTCGTGGGTTCGAATCCCCCTCGTGACACTAACTTTTTCACTAAAACCAAGACCTTACATAAAATGAATAATTAATTAAACTTTAATTTTAATTTATTCAATTCACTAGTTTTCGTGGTCCGCTTGACCAATTAATATCTTTCAATTAATTAAGTTTTTTAGTTGAGATAAAAAAGTCAATGTCACGAGCGGGATTCGTACCCACGACCTTCGGCTAAATACGCCGCTACTCTACCACCTGAGCTATTGTGACTTCGATCCACTCGGACACTAACTTCTCATCTCAACCCCACCTTTTGAATTTTCCCTCCTTTTTGCCATTTTTCAAATGTCGTGTAATCGCATTGGATTCTCGACGACAAATAAAATGGCCACGGAGAGCTTTAATGAAGTATACTTCATTTAAATTTATTAAATTCACTAGTTTTCGTGGTCCGCTTGACCAATTAATATCTTTCAATTGGGGAAGTTAGTGTCCAAGTGGATCGAAATCACGATAGCTCAGGTGGTTGAGTAGCGGCGTATCAAGCCGATGGTCGTGGGTTTGAATCACGGTCGTTACATTGACTTTTTTATCTCAACTAAAAACCTTAATTAATTGAAAGATTTTAATTTTAATTTCGTTTATTTTGAAATGGTTTAAGGACCCTATTTAATTTTTTTCTTTACTTTTCAATAAATGTTCGTTTTATATCTTAGTTATTATTTAACAAATCACTTTTTATTTATAATTTTGGGTATGGAAATTTTAGATTGGAGTAACGATATTGTGGATCAGCAACAACTGGATCGAAATGGTGAATATCTCAATGTTTCTCCCAAATTTACTAATACTATCGGACATAATTTCATATTGAAGAAATTATCTAGAAGAAATTATACCTATGTTATTATTGTTGTTAAAATTATTATAATTCGGATTACGTGCTTTTTTTATTTATATAGATTAGTTAATAACTTGTTTTCGTTAAGAAGTGTCGCTGGGCAGCAACCTTACTTCACGTGCCATAGTACCACCATATAGATATTGACATATGTATATACACATAGGATTAACACAACAATGTATTTGTAAAAAGTTTTAACAAAAAAAGAAAACAACGCACTGAAGTACCAATGCTGATCGCCTTGGATTATTCTTTCCCCGCCTATATTGTAAATTTCGGTCAGATGAGTCG